GGAATGCATGGGAGGAAGGACACAGGGAAGTGGTAACTATGAGGACGAAGCGGGAGGGGAGCTGTTATCTTGTGGGAAATTGTAGTCAATGTCATGAGACAGTGTATGTGAACTACTGTATGGAAAGTGAATTCGCTCTATAAATTTTCACCAAAATTACAAAATTTAAAAAAAAAAAAGGAAAAAATTCATTAAACAGAAATTAAATTTTTTCAAAATGGGGACTCCATTAAGCTTTCTGTACTGTGTACATGTTTAAAGTTTCCCTCATCCTGGATGATTGTCTTTGTTTTGTGCTTGTCTCTTCTAAGACTTGATAAGTGTCTCTAATGGGAAATAAATAAACATCCCCCTCCTAGAGAACACTGCAAAAATAATACTCCGTTCTGCCAATCTTTCAAACTTGAGTTTTCTGGTGTTACCTTAAGGGATCTACTTTACACTAGGACTTAAGGCTTCCTTAGGAAAGGGGTATTTCTTATTTCTTTGGTATATTGACAGGTTTTAGAAGTGCCTCTGAGCACCAACTGGCTTGGGACCTGGGAAGAGAGAGATGACGACTTAGATAGGGACATAAAACACTTGAATTTTCATGAGTGCATGGTTCACAGCAGTCTCCACTTAGCCAAGCATTTTCTGAGAGGGTGATGGGTAGAGTGAGTTAGTTGGGGAGGTAGTGTGACCAGCTGCTAACAGCACACTATCGCAGCACACCAGTTGATACAAGAGTTGTGAATTCTGAAAAAGAGCAGAAGCCAATCTCCTTCTCAGGGGCACACCAGCCCCTGAAAGCCTCTGGTCAATCTTCAGGGACACAAATAGCTTTCAGAGCTGGGCTGCCGAATATCCTCTGGATATAGGTTTCTGTAATTACTAGTTGGAGTTTGTCTTTAAACTTTGCTTTCAATCCAGGAAAAAGAGATGATCTGTTCATCTCCAGTGCAAAACAGCAGAAGAGTGTTAAAACAATGGTATATAAACCATCTTTCTTGAAGAACTGGACTAACATCTTTAGAGCAATAGCATGAAGCAGGCAGGCTGAGACAAACACAGGGGAAAGAAAACTGAAGGTAACTGTTGTTGTTAAGTGCCGTTGAGTTGGACCCGACTCCTAGTTGCCCTCCTTGGGTTTCCGAGGCAGTATCACTACGGAAGTAGATTGCCTCATCTTCCTTCCGAGGAGTAGCTGGTGGGTTTGAACCACCAGCCTTCTGGTTAGCAGTCAAATGCCTTAGGCACTACACTACCAGAGCTCCTCTGAAGGTAACTAGTCAGCAGCTATTAGTGGAAATTCCTACAAGAAGCTTAGGAAAAATATTAACTTGTGTTAACTGAAAAAAATAAAAAAAAAAGGTGGATTTGATCACTAATGTGCCTGTATTCAATTAACATTTTACCTTTTCTTCTCTCTGCGCCAAGGTACAAAGAAAATAAGAGCTTTGAAGGTTTTTGAAAGCAATGTAAAACCTCTGCTATAGCAGATTACAAAAGATTGTTTATGGTGTGTAGGGTCAAGATGGGAACATTTGATGAAACAGTGGATTTCATGCCCTAATTTGCCTAAAAGGTCGCTATGAGTTGGAATCGACTTTAAGGCAACAGGTGTGATTTTTTGGGTGGGGTGGGGGGGATGGTAGTTTTAACTCAATCAAGTTCAAGAAGGGCCTAATGAACATTAGAAACATTCTGGTCATTTTATGACTTAGATCAAAATTCATTTGTGAAGGGCTGTTCAGTATTACTGAAAATTATTAGTTATCCTATACACTTGCATACTTATCAATGAGTTTTTATGGCATATGTAACACTTTATTCTAACAAGAATCAGCTTCTTTTATAATTCACACTTGAGAAAACTAAGGTTCAGCAATTAATTGACTTCTCAGCCATATAACCAGTAAGTTCAGCAGTGAATACAAATCAAGATTTTGTCTAGTAATCCTTCTAGAAACTAGATGCTTCTTTTCCAAAGGCTTTTTCTCTTCTTTAAAAGCCAGTTATCTAATTGTTGTATTTATCCATTTTAGGATGCACTTGTTTTAAGCAGGTAGAAAATCTTGTTTTTCTTATTCATATTTTTTAAGCCTTCAAGCCTCTTGTGACAAACATCTACTTTCACCAGGTAGTAACATGCTACAAAGGAGCCCTAGTGGCACAACAGTTAAGCACTCAGCTGCTAACTGAAAGACTGCCAGTTTGAATCCACCCAGTGGCTTGGCAGAAGAGACATGGCAATCTGCTTCTGTAAAGGTTACAGCCTAGGAAATGCTATGGGGCAGTTCTGTCACATGGTGTTGCTGAGTCACAATCAACTGGACAGCGTCTAACACCAACATGCCACAACTACAGATTATTGTGAAGTATAGGTAGCACTTTGAATGGTAATTCTTATGTATTAGCAGACATGTTACCTGTAGAGTTTGATAAAAATATGGGTTTCTTGGCTCCACCTCAGAGACCACTTCAGTACTGGGGAAGGAATGGGGGACTTAACATGCTCAAAAAGCCTCCCAGGTAATCAAGTTCCATACTTAGAGAAACTCTGCTTGAGCATGACTCACAAAACCTAACTATGTTAGGTGATGCTCAGAATCACAAACGCTTAATGGTGCTTTATAACGTGTTTTATACTTTACTATAAAAAAAAACAAAATCATTGCCATCAAGTCAATTCTGACTCATAGCGACCCCCATTGGGTTTCTGAGGCTGTAAATCTTTACAGAAGTAGATTGCCCCATCTTCCTTCCAGAGTGACTGGTGGGTCTGAACCACTGACCTGGTTAGCAGCCAAATGGCTTATCCACTATGCCAGAGTTCCTTAAATAGAAACTTCTATTTGGGAAGTCTTAATATTTTAAAATAAAGAAGCCATGTAATTAACACCCCATTTATGGTATTTTAATACTAATCTCTAACTCTTGGTTCTGCTTTAACTTCTGTAAGAAACAGATAACTTCACATCAGTGCCAAGTACTAGTCTAAAGGGAGTTTCTCAGTTTAAGTTTGCTCTGTTCCTGATTCACATCTTCCCTACATTAGAACAATTTTGGTTTAATATGGCTATGATAGAAAGCAGGAGTTAGAACCAGACATGTAATTTATCTGTTTTGAGTGTGTGGTATTTCTATAACTTTTATGGAAATGAACCTGAGTCACAGGCATTCTTTGAGTATTATACAATTGGTGGTTTCTCAATTTGTTCCTGTGACAAAGTAGCCACTCACAATTGTAGTTAAAAAAATTTCATAATTGCTTACAGATTTTTAACTCACCTTAGGATCCTTCCTTGCTGCCAAACAAGCATTCACGCTGTTTAAAATCAAAACAATTATAGCCACTGACACCTACAACTAAGGAAAGGATTTCTAAAATGTCTTCAAAGGGAAAAACTTAAATCTGTATATATGTCACATTCCCACTTATTCAGCAAAATTCACCTGTACTTGGCTTAATCTTTGCATCCTAAACCACCACCTTTTTCTTTAATTAGTGGTTTTCCCATAGAGTGAACAATTTTCACTTTTCTGTAAGAAAAGAATCTGATTTGATTGGATCTTTCATACTGCTACTTTTACAAAAGTAATGTATTTTGAAAGGCAGGCATAGAGGGTCTTCTTGTTGTGGTATCACACCACAGTCACTTAAGAGTTAACCCAGCAACAGGACATTTATTTTTTTTGTTCACATATACTATAGTTGTGTGGCCAATGAAAACTTTATAAATAGCAGTGAAACACTGTCTATCACTGGATGGCACAGGACTGGGCAGTGTTTCATTCTGTTGTACAAAAGGTCACTATGAGAAGGAGACAACTCAATGGCATCTAACAACAACGTAAGTTGTGTCTGAGGCAAAACAATCTCAGATAAGTTAACCCTGGCAAATTCAGTGGGTCCAGGTGTAAATTAAGTACAGTGAACTAAATCTGAATGTCACACTGTTATTGCCAACTGGAGAAAGCTATAGTAATTCAAAGGTATGCGTATGGTCACAGATAAAAATTAAGACAAGATGATCGCTAGCTAAAGATCAGGGGAAAATAAGTAGCAATATTGCACCAATGCAAGACAAAATATACTTTATTGGACAGCAAATGCACACAGTGCTGTAGGTAAGGCATGCTACTAGGAACCTGCTCATTATCAAAAACTGGTATGCAAATACATGCAAATGACCCCTCTTTGTTAATGCTTAAAGATATAGTCAATGGTGAAGGAAGAAGAATTTGTGTCCACTTATCTCAAATGCAATATTATACCTACTTAATCAGAGACCTGTGCCTCTAAGCAAGTGCCCAAAGGCAAAAAGGAGGAACTTAACTGCACTTCTGATATCCAAAACAGGAGGCAAGTTTTCTCTCTAGATAAAAGATCTTGATATCCAGCACTCTTAACAAATCATTCGTTTATCTAAATAATTAGGCAATTTTGATGTAATTTATTCTGCCAGAAGCAAACTGCAGAATTTCTAGAATCAACATTAACATTTTAATTCTTCATAATGTCATAAATTTTGGGCTAAATAGCAACCTGAGGTAAATGTGATCCCTTTCTACTTGAGGGAACCAAGTACAGTTTCAATTTCAATAGTTGAACTACTAAGATCTGGGGAAAAAAAACAATAGTAATGATGAGAGAGATCTAGTCTTTTGATGGAACTATTAGGCTCCACAGACTTGTCAAAATCAATGTAAAACAGAGAGAAGAAATATTTTATGAAGCAGTATTTTCAGATAATCTGCTTCACTTCCCCCTTCTTCTGAAACAGATGCAGATTAAATGCTTTTTGCATGAATGCATACTGACAGTCTGTTCAACTGTTTTCTAAATGCAACACTGTGGGTTTAAACAGTGTCCTTTAATTTAAACAAAGAGTAGTATCTTATACATAGCAATTTCACTTAGAAATGAAAAGAAACACTTACTACTATGACAATTACTTATCAAGTACTCCCTTTTTCTAAAAAGTAATCTTAAAAGCAACACAGGACCAAAAACATCCAACTATCACTTTATTTATATTACTATGCTTAAGTTACACGGAAAAAGACAACCAAGCAGTTCTGCCCCATCCATTTCAGGAAAACTTTCCAATCAACACCAATTATGTGGTGACAAATAACTAGGAATGGTGACATCTTTGGGTCAAGACCGACAAGGAAGAATGGGCTCTGGTGCTACGGTTCATCTCCAACAAGAATATGGCACAATGGCCAGCACAAGCCATACTAACACTGGACCTTTAGCTCTGGTCACAAATTCGGATCTCTTCTCTGAAGCTAGCAAATCAGGTAAAATAACTGGGTTTTTTGAAAGTTTTAAAATGAAGCCCAAATAAGTTTTAAAAACCATGCTCTTGACATATTTTCCTTTCAAAATTTACATAAAACACTGTTTTTCACTCTAATAGCCCAGATTTTTTCCTCACTTAGTCCACTATGTAACTGCAGATAGACTATTTCTGCCTCAGATGTAAACACAAGGAAAAAAAAAAAAATTAACGGCATCTGCATAATATTCTCTCTACACACTGCTGCTGGATCGAAAATTAAAAAAAAAAAAAAAAAAAGAAAGAAAGAAAGAAAAGGATTCCATCTTAGATTCTCACAACCTCTGGTTCCGCAGTTCATGAATCCGACTCGGATGCTAAGGTGACAGTGTATGTAAGTAGATTTTTGTTTTCAGTGAAGGAGACCTGGGAAAAGATGGCATTTATCTCTTTTTCTTCAAGAGTTATCAGATGGTACATGCTCCTCAAAGCCCTCACTCTCTCGAACTAGAGCACGTTCCAGGATCACACGGCCTTCCTTATAACGCTGGCTGTCTTCAGTGGCAAACTCATAGATCCATCCCAGTTTGCTATTGCAGTTTTTGCAGCTCACGTCTCGAACCATGTGACGGCCAGTGAGCATCACCCGGTCTTGAACTTCACTGTACTGCAGGTTAACTACCTAAGAAACATTAAAAAAAAAAAAAAAAAAATTGCAAAGGCATGTTAAGTTATTTGCCAAACAAGTATCCAATATTATGGTTAGTACAATTAATAGAACAACTTCAGAAAAATGAAATGAAAGTGATTATGCTGGTCAAACCTACAATATGTTCTCCAAGAAGGCCAAGAACTATTTTGAGAAGCTACTAGGTCAGGTAAACATCTGGAAATTGTAGTGCACTAGACATTTAATGCAATCATGTACTACCGTACAAGCTCAAGCCACACTATTTATACATCTTATTTACACTTGTAAGGACCCCTGGTTGCACAATGGTTAAATCACTCAGCTGCTAACAGAAAGGTCTACAGTTGGTACTTCTCAGCTGCTCCACATTAGAAAGATGTGGCAATTTGACTTCTTAATGAGTATAGCCTTGGGAAGTCTATGGGAGCAGTTCTACTCTGTCCTACAGGGTCACTATGAGTCAGAACTAACTCCAGGGCAATGGCTTACTTACACTTCTGTTTTGGAGGGAAGAGTCCTGGAATTGGAATCATAAAATGTAGATTTGGATCCAATTATTCTCATTTACTATTTTAGTGATCAATGCTTCAGGAATACAAATAAAGCAATTAGTGTAAGAGTATACAACAGACTCTGTAAAGGGCCAAATAGGAAATATTTTTGGCTGAGGGCAATATGATCGTTGTTTCAAGTATTCAACTCTGCCTTTGCAGCATGAACACTACCACAGACAATACATAAATGCAAAAGCACAGCTCTATTCCAATAAACTTTATTATAAAAACAGGTAGCAGTTTGCCAGCTATAGCACGCTGACTCTTGCTCTCCATCTAAATAAAGATTAAAGTATACATTTTGAGAGAAAAACTTGTATGTACATGGAACAGAGGGGGATGTCCATTGGGGAAGTTCACAGGGCCTTCCAAGAGCAGTACCTGCATTAGCTCTGTTCCTTAGCCTAAGAGATTTTGGAAATTTAATTATATTAGTAGACTTTAGACCCAGGAGGTAGATCCACATCAATCAATTTCAAAGCAAGCCAGTAATTAGAGGAGCAAGCAGACTGAACACTCATTTGTAAATCAGAGAGCGCTCATGTTGGCAAACCTAAGTAAGAAGTCAAATTATCATCAGAAGGATGTTTAGTGAGCATGAATTAAAGCAAGAGAAGTTAAGTGATCCTTGTTCACTTTCATTGTCAATTTATGACAGCTTAATGCAGCTACTTCCCTATCTGGATACAACAACGGCAAAGGAGCAAGGGGCATCTTGGCTCCCTCTTCCATAATGCGTGCTAAAGTCACTGTCAAACTCTTACACCGGGTGTTTCCTGAGGCAATGGAGTCCACCCCTCTTCTTGCAGCACATTTTTAAACTTTCAAGGTTAAAAATCACATTTTAGTAATGCTTTCCTGAAATCCCTCATAAAACAAACTAGCAGTTCTTCCACTGACTTCAGCTCTTCATTATAACTACTACTGGTACCTCCAAGCTCTGGGAAGTATTGCGTATATCCACTGAACTGACTTAGGAAATGAAGTCAACTTTCTCACCAACCTTGTTAAAAAGAAATGCTCGGCCAGTGGCGCCTGTGAAGCGAGTGGAGATGAGTTCTGAGCGGTTGGTCAAGATTGTATCACAGTTTGCACAAGAAAACAGACGAGTACCACCAATATGGTCAAGGAAAATTCTGCCCATTTTTCGAGTTGAAGTTCTAAAAACCTAGGAGCAAATGGAAAAGGAAAAGAAATGCATTATAATTTTAAAAATTGTTAGCACCTACTTGGTGGGTGATACAGAAAAACATTTATATGTAATCTGCCTTGTAGTACTTAGTAGGTAAAATAGCTAAAAGGATTCAAAGTTCATGCATTGAACAAACAAACAGGCATATCCAAGCTAACACTTTGAAAGCAGTGAGCCAAGGAAGTAAACATAGAGCACAGTGCAAGTACACATTCTGAACTTGTGCAATTTGAGAACAGACTGCAAGGTATGAGTAGGATGATTTGGTGAGGAGCCATCAGGTAGTCAAAAAAAGCAGAGAGGGAAGAGGGGATATCAGAAAACAAGAGAAGAGTAGTCTGGTTTGTGAGCACAGGGTGAGTGGACCTGTGGTCACCAGAAACAACTGTACAGGGGTGTCCACATGAACTTTAGTAAGTGAGCCTAGTAGCTACGGAGCACCATACAAGGTGCTTATTAAAGCTTATTAAATCCTCACAACAATACTTTGAGCAACACTTTAAAGCACCCTCCATTTCACAGACTATCCTAAGAAATCTAAAAAGGTCAAAGGTTATGTTACATAGCTTTCAAGTATGAAAAGCCAGAACTGGAAAGAAGGTCACTTGACTGAAATACAAAGTTCTCCAATCACCCTATACTGCCTCTTCTAAGATAGTATACAAGATGGTCAAGCTCGGCATAAGGCTAGGGCAACACGATCCGTTAGAAAATGCTAACTTGCTTGTATTTTAAGAGCCTTACTAATGAACAAAATCATAGAATGCACTTATTTTTACTGAAAAGATAAAGTTGTGAAACAAACTTCTGAAACTATGATAGCCACACTTCAGTATTTCAAAAGTTATAAGAGTTAATATGTACAATTCCTTAAATTCACTGCAAATAATTTATCCTAAGCTCTGGTTGCATAGTGCCTAAGGCATCTCACTGCTAATCAGAAGGCTGGCAGTTCAAACCCACCAGCCATTACTCGGAAGGCAGATGGGGCAATCTACTTCCATAGTGATACTGCCTCAGAAACCCAAGGAGGGGTTGCTATGAGTCAGATCCAACTCGATGGCAGTGTTTCTTTTTTTTTTTTGGGGGGGGGAAAGCAGTATTTTATAAATATGGTGAAAGGATACAATCCTGACGCACTCCCTTCCTGATTTTATATGGCCTTGTACTTTTCAAACGACAGCCTCCTGGTCTATGTACAGGTTCCTCATGAGCACAATCAAGTGTTCTGGAATTCTTATCCTTCTCAATGTTATCCATAATTTGTTATTATCCACACAATTGAATGCTTTCGCATAGTCAATAAAACACAAGTAAACATATTTCTGGTATACTTTGCTTTCAGCAAGATCTATTTGACATCAGCAAAGATATCCCTCATTCCATGTCCTCTTCTGAATTCAGCCTGCATTTCTGGAAGTTCTCTGTCAATATACTGCTACAACCATTTTTGAATTATTTTCAGTAAGGTTTTACTTATGTGTGATATTAATGATATTGTTTGGTAATTTCCACATTCTGTGGCATCACCTTTCTCATATGAAGAACGTGGCATCAGGATTAGAGGAAGACTCATTAACAACCTGTGATATGCAGACAATATAACCTGGCTTGCTGAAAGTGAAGATGACTTGAAGCACTTACTGATGAAAATTAAACACTACAATCTGCAGTATGGATTACATCTCAACATAAAGAAAACGAAAATCCTCACAAATGGACCAATAAAGGAGAAAAGACTGAAGTTGTCAAAGATTTCATATTACTTCGTTCCATAATCAACACCCATGGAAGCAACAGTCAAGAAATCAGATGATGTATTAAACTGGGCAAATCTGCTGCAAAAGACCTCTTTCAAGTGCTGAAGAACAAAGATGCCTCTTTGAAGACTAAGATGTACCTAACCAAGCCATGGTATTTTCAATCACCTCATGTGTATGTGAAAGCTGGACAATGAACAAGGAAGACCAAAGAAGAGTTGATGCTTTTGACTTGTGGTGTTGGCGAAGAATACTGAAAGTACCATGAACTGCCAGAACTACTAAATGTGTCCTGGAGGAAGTGCAGCCAGAATGCTCCTTGGAAGCAAGAATGGCCAGACTTCATCTCACCTACTTTGGTCATATTGTCAGAAGGGACCATTCCCTGGAGAAGGATATTATCCTTTGTAAAGTGGAGGGTCAGTGAAAAAAGGGAAGACCTTCAATAAGACGGATTAACACAGTGGCTGCAACAATGGGCTCAGGTATTTAGCAAGCATTGTGAGGCTGGCACTGGAGCAGTTTTTCATTCTACCATACACAGGGTCGCTGTGAGTTGGAGCCGACTTGATAGCACCTAACAACACTAATATTTTGAAAGATGTGGGTATATACCTCAGCTTTCATTTTTAAAAAGCATTTATTCCTGGATGTGGTTATCAGCTCCTGTGTTTTAATTATTGTTGCTGTTGTTAGAGCCCATGGAGTCGGCCCCCTACTCATGGCAATCCCTTGAACAATGGGACTGGACTCACGTCTTTAAAATAGCATGCAGAGCTGATAAAACTGTCATTAAAAAAAAAAAATCTAAAATCCATGTCTATAATAAGAATCTACTGTTATCTTAAATCTGAGGAAATTCCTTTATAAATTCAAACAAGAAAATTTTATTTTCTTAGATCTTTCAACTTCCCCAGCCATTGGGCAGCTGTAATGTCATTAGAAAAGTCCTATCATGAAGATCATAATGACTTTCCTTAAACATGACATGGTAGTTTATTAAGGAATAAAAAAATAAATGGTGACAATGTGTAGCTAGTAAAAGAAAAATCCTGGGCTAGAAACACAAGATTTGGGATACTGATTATTCATTTTCTTACTACATTCTTGCAAAACAACAAAAAATAAGGCTACCTATCATTTTAGCCTTTTGAAAGATTGTAACATTAGTTTTTCCAGATGGTTAAGAACACAGTAGTTGTTAAATATAGTTTCAGAGACTATAAATTTGAAATCTGCAGGCCAAATTCATTTGGTGGTCTAGGGATATAGTAGTGACCAACTAGTAGAAAAGCCCTTTTCTCATAAAGCATATGTGGACATGTTTTATTTGGACTAGTTTCCATTCTTAATAAAAAAACAGTGAGCTGACACAGAAATTGGGAGATTTAATTTAAAAGCATGTATTTTGGACTTCTTAACAATGGGGAGATCTGGCAACACGAGTCATGTATTCTTGTGCATGTACTCTTGTATGGCAATGGCAACAACTGACCAGGGCTGTGATTCCCACTCCACCCCCAACCAACACCCCAGTCTTCTCTGCTTCATTCAGCTACTTTATCTTGTAAGATATTTGAGGTATGACTAATGGTAAAAAACAGGTATTCTTGACATGCATAAATCAAGTAGTTAACCTATGAGCAGTTGATTTTGGTCATACTAGTCATTAACAGAAAAGAATCACAAATTCACCTAGGTACAGTCTTTAGGTTGTATACCTTAGAAAACTACTAAGAGCCTTCACCTAGGTAGCATAGTGCCTAAAGGCACTTGACCGCTAACCAGAGGCTGGTGGTTCAAACCCACCAGCCACACCTCGGAAGGAAGGTTGGACAATCTACTTCTGTAGTGACACTGCCTCCGAAACCCAAGGAGAGGTCACTATGAGTCGGATCCAACTGGACGGTACATAACAACAACAACGATGATGACAACAGGGCTTCCGAGACTTTGTTGCTGCTATTGTTGTATCAGTTTTCTTTCCACTTCCTCCCTCTAGTGACCCCTTTCCTGTGTCCTCCTTTCCAATGTATTCTTGCCCTCCCTCTAAGCTATCTCCCTGTGCAAATGCTACCCTTCAGATCTCCCACTGTTGATTTTTCTAGGCAATGTATCTACCTGGTGTTAATGTTCACCTGATAGGCCCATTTGTTCAATTCCAGGCCCAAAGGGGAACTAGGGGCCATAGTCTGGGGGTTTCACCAGCCTCTATAGGACCAGTAAACCTGGTCTTTTTTGGGATTTTGAGGGCTGCTCCACACTTTTCTCCCACTCTATCCAGGCTCTCCTATAGGCATCAGCTAGTTCTGGTCTCAGGGTCATGCAGGCTGAGGTTTGCATGGTCCAGTAGTTGGACTCCATTCCCCATCCCTCAAACCAATTTTCCCTCAAACTTTTAAATAAAATCTTTATTTTGTTTCTTTCAACCACAGTGCAGGTGTAACTACACTGGCAGACACAATGCTATTGTGGAAAACATACTGGATGTCAAATGAACTTTTCCTATACTTTCACATACATCATTTTATTTTTGGCTCAAAATTATAATATATGTACAGCTGTGGCCATGTGCTACTGGATACAGCTTAAGCTCTTCATCCTAAAGGGGGTGAACAGATTTAACATTCCTTCTTCTTCTGCTTCAAATTCAGTCTATTTTTTACTCTTTTACCCAAGTATTTTTACTGGGTTCAATTATATGATTCATTACCAAGACCAAAAATATCTGGGCAGAACCTTATGTTACACTATTCCTAGTTGTGGTTGCCATTTATAGAGTTCTCCATCTATCTATATACTTGTACGTATTATATATACATATATAATATACATACATATATATCCTCTTTATACACATATAAAATGCCGTTTTTATTTGCCAAAAGAGATAATCCAGAATGCTGTGGAACCTAGCAAGCAAAACATCACTTTCTGTCAATGGTCTTTAGGAAGCAGAAAGAGCTCTGCCAATGTCATTATGTTCTAGGGTTAAACTTTAGCATTTCAGGGGGTAGAAAACTCAACTTAGTCATTGTGTGCCAATCTAGCACTAGCTTATACTAACCAAATTCTCAAAAGGCTGACATTAATGAAAATGCTGCTTTATTAACTTTGAGGAGGAAGAGTCATTAAAAAGCTAAGACATAACATTTGAATATATAATCAGGCTTCTCTGGACTGGGATGATATACTGAACTCAGCCTTAGACCTAAC